AATACCACCAGAGATCATCTTTGGTACTCCCAAACGTTTCAACTCTGAAGTATTCAGGTTTGAGCCTGATTCGCAAAACATCGTCGTGAGAACATATTATATCACGTTGAGGTAAAAGCTTCGCTGCCGCAAAGTATGAAGCAGCCTAATGGGTCAAACCTAGTAAAAAGCAAGCAGTTGGAAATGATAGCAGGAAATGCCGTAGAGTGAGCAGATATAATGAATGAAGACTCACTTCTATCACGCATAAACTGTGCAATCTGGTCCGGTTTGAATATCCGTAGGAAAACATTCAACTCAGTGAACAATGGGCCATTACCAGCCGGCTCAACTTTGACGACAAGTTCCGTCTTCGAGCCGACCTGAAGCGAATAACAGTTTTGCAAGCGTTCAAAGCATATATTTACCACCTTAGTTCATATAAATAGATTACCTACAGAAATTTAGAAAAATATACAAGTATGCCTTCTGTTTCATAATATCTGAAGAAAGAAAAATCGTCATGTATATTGATGTTTTGAATACTTTTCAGCAACTATCTGTTTGAAGCCCTTGAACAGAAGCAGACATTTATAAACGAAGGAGTTACCGCAAGACTTGGGAGCCTCGAACAGCCATCAGAACAGCTTAAGCTTAGCTGTTTAGGTTAGTGCGACGCAACCTTCGTCGCTAATCATTCTTCAGACAGCGTTCATACTTTTCGTCAGCGTTTCGAGCGTACTGCAGTGTTTTGAGCTACTACGAAAGCCTAGATTGGTCCAGAGTTTAAACGTACACCACCGTTTCCAAGGGCTGCCCAAGAAGCGCTCAAAGCTAACCGAAATGCTCAAAACGCTGACGTAAAGTATGAGCAGTTCAAGGCTATGTCCATGCCTTGCAAATAGAGAAAATTCTACAAACAATCGCATTTCGAAGGAGGGCATGAAAAAAGAGGGCGCCAACATAGTTGAGGAAACCACGCGGCAGCGTCCGTGTCCCTTCCCCTAACGAAGGCTTGGGCTCAGTGCAATATATCTTCCCTGCAAGACTATCATTCGGCGAATCTGGTCGTCTTAGCAGAAGCTAGTAAGGGATACACATGCCAAGTGGTTCCCCCTTTCTCCCTCTTTACTCCAATGACACTAATGCCAGAATGAGCATACATGCTCATCTGCCTAATCTCGGAGAACTAGCGCTATTCGGCGCAACCATGACTCGAGGAAGCCGCGATTCTTGAGAATGCGCGACCGGAAAGATGATTCACTGATGCGCACAGTCTGATTCCCACGCAACCCTTTGTAGCCTCACATTCGCCCAGATGGCAGAACGTATCAGTCACATTCGCAAAGTATGAACGCTTTCGAATGGATTCGACAGCCGAACTTATTCATATGAATACAAAATCAAATTGAAAGAAGGGGTTCAAGAGCGAATTCTTTCCCAAAATTTGAAAAAATAGTTTGAATTTCTGTGACTAGACAACAAGAAGTACATTTTATATCGCCACAAACAGTCGAGGCGATGTCTGGAGGCATGGAATGAGCCCATCCGCACAGACCACTGGTAGAGATCAGGGGACGGGCTTTTACAACCGTCCCGACACCTCCCCGTCTGACTGCGACGTCATCAGCTTCATCTCACGCAATTACACGAAGAAAACAATGGAATGTAAGCAAACAGTGTAAAGAATACAATAACCCTTACCTCATTACAGGTGTAAATGCGCCCAAATCCTCCAGTTGCGAACTGCCGTCCGACACAATACTGCTTCTTCGTGCTCAAGTCTGAGATAATGGTCTTAAATGGTAGTTCCACAGCCAGCTGATGCAATTTGCCTTTAGCCACACGCTTTGGTGGCATCCCTGAAAAAGAGAAATGTGAAACGGCATTCGCCATGCAGAATATA